AATGGCTTCTTACATTGTATTCTTTTGCCATAAGTATACTTGGATATCAAAGAGGTAGAATACTGTATTCCCTATTTTCCCAACCAAACATGTCCTCATGCTAATTTTATCATGTATAAGTCTTATCTAACCTCTCCTTGCCCTCACTTTTGATAGAGACATAGGTATAGGTATTAGTTATCTAATTATGCTGTAACAGAAATACCATAAGGGAATGACTTTGAAAAATGGAAATTCATTTCCTCACAGTGTAGACTCTAAGCTCTTGAAGCTAGAAGTCCAAACTCAGGTAAAGACTCTAGGGAAAGCCTGTCTCTGTGTTGGCCCTAGAAGGCCCTCGGTCTCTGCAGCACCTGCTGCAGAGGGATCTTGGGGAGCTCCAGGTGTGGGGCATCACAACCCGGTTGTTTTTTGAATCTCTTTTTAAGCCTCAACCGAGATTCACTGAAAATACACCCCTCATCCTTCTTATTAACATAACAAAGAAACCCATTCCCAAATGGGATTATAATCACAGGTTTCTGGATTAGGAAGTACAATACATTTGGGGTAGACATAGTTCTGAGATTTTAACAGTTTAGAAAATACCGCCACTTTTAACTGCACTGAAAAAACGACAACAATAAAAAAATCCCCTAATAGCGTAAGCAAAGATAAACTACCTAAACGCAACTGATGAACCAATTCTCATGACATCACATCGGCAATAGGGATGTTTGTGGGAAAACATGATTGAAGACAGCCTTTAGATTGATGATGTCCCGTGGCCTTGCACCAGAGTTCTCGGTTGAGCAATTCGCCCCTCCGCCAGGTCTTAGCATGACTCTTGGGAAAGGTTCAATGCTTAAATTCCAAAGATGAATGACAATTCAAGTCAAATACAATGTTTGCTTGCAGGAAGGGCATCTTTTCTAATTTGTAGAATAGTTCCTTAAACTGCTCCCAACATTTAGAATTTGAGAATGGGGTTCTGTTTGGTATGCCAGTATATCGTGCTAGTGCAATGCATACATAGTTCAGTGGCTTTCTGGCCAAGTGATTAGATAACTGAATACAAGGGACAGTGTTGCAATTATGCTGTGAACAAGGAGACATGGTTATGCTGATTCCATTGGCAAATGCTTAATGTCACCTACCTTGTGGTAGCTTTAGATGCAGCTCTGATCCTCTGCACCATGATACTTCCAGGTGTTTCGATACACTTGTAGAGTTGTGTGCTTTCTTACTTTCTTGCCTGGTTCCTCCCCAACTCATAAGCCACAATAGGGCAGAGGGTAAGCAAGGAGCTTCACCCAGGAAGGGTGACCGCAACGAAAAGAGGAGATTTCCAAAGACTAAACCAGCACACACTAAAATTTAGAGCCAAGAGAAAACGACCTTCAGGAAAACAAAGAAGAGTCTAACTTTTTCTTTGCCCGCCTCACCTTCTATGGAGGTAATTCACTTTCCCAGGCAGCCTGTGTGAGGGCAAGACTGTTGGCATCCCCAGTTAATAATCAGAAGGGACTCAATGGAGGCTTCATCTACATGTGGACTTTGCACATGGGTTTTCTCGGCCTTCCATTGCCTTCTGTAAAAGGGATGCTCAGAATTTAAGCTCCAATACAGTATAAGAATCACAACTTCTCTCTCTCCAACTATTTTTGAGAATCAAATCAGATAACATGTGAAGTATTTACTACAATATTCAGGTGTTATGTTCCAGTAGGAAATTACTAGACTCTTCCTCTAAACTCCAGGCCATTGCTGCTGCTTCAGCCATCTCTCCGGGCCAATTTCGTAACTGTTCCTCTTCCCTGCTAATCTCCCCTATCCCACGCTGTCTTTTCTTTCTTCCTTCTCCCCCTCCCTGCTTCCCCTCTCTTCTTCCTCTGTTCTCCATCTCGCATCCTCCCCTTTTCTTCTTGGCCCCTTTCCTCTTCCTCCTCTACTCTAGTTGTCCTTTTAAGAGACAAGGCAAGAATTGGGCCAAACCACGGGGCATCCACATATGTAACATATGGAGATTGATAAAAATCGATACTTAGCTTTCACAATTACTTCTGAAAATTAAAAGGCATATGTAAATGATAGGCATATAGATTAGGGGTAGAGGGGTTGTCTTCCCACAATGCCTGTCAGAAGAAAAGCAGCAAGCCAGGCCACATAAAGGAGTTGCAGGAAAGACAGGCTTCCATCGGACACCTATGGGAAAATCCAAAGCTGGGCCCCCCCACAATGCTAGGCACCAGTAATATGACATCACACAGGTGCGCCTAAACTCAGCCTGTAAGGTTGGCCAGTACCATCAACCACGCCTCCCCAGCCAGTGGGGATAGGAGGGGATAAATAACACAGTCTGAGGGCAGGGCTCTCTCAGGTGTACTCTGCAAGGGGAGGATGGGACTCTCTCCTGGGTGTGCAGCAGTAAGTGCCTGCAGGCCCTCGGGGGAGCCCTTCTCTTGACTCTTGTGGGATTTCCTGCTCGTGGCTCCGCACTCTGGTTTCACGTTCCTGTTCCGGTCAGTATTCCTTCCCGAGTATATTAATTTCCATGCTCCTCTGAAATGGCCATTTCCCATGGCCCCTCCCCTCCCCCACTAGGCAGCCTTGCACACTTTTCAGAGTGTGTGCTGTCTGAGACCAAACCTGAAACTTCCCTTTCCCTCATTAAAATGACTTGGACTTACAAAAGTGTTTCTGCTGCGTGATTTCTTTCAGCCTTGAGAAGCAAGAACCAAGGTAAACCACCCCGGAAACCTAACATAAGTACTTGGAACCCTGGGAGCACAGGGCTTAAAGGCTCAGCTGCTAATGGAAAGGTCAGCAGTTAGAACCTACCAGCCACTCTTGGGAGAGAAATGTGGCAGTCTGCTTCTGAAAAAACATTACAGCCTGGGAAACCCTGTAGGGCAATTTTACTCTAGCCACATAAGCTCACTAGGAGGCGGAATGCACTCGACAGGAATGGGTTTGGATACACCAAATGCAAACCAAACCCACTGTCCACAAATTGAGTCCCACTTATATCAGCCTGTAAGACAAAGTAGAACTGTTCTATACGGTTTCCCAGGCTGCAAATCATTACAGAAATAGACTGCTTCATCTTTCTCCTGCAGTGTGGCTGGAAAATTTGAACTACCCCTTAACAGTTTACAGTCCAACGCTTAATGCACTGTGTGGACAGAGCTCCTAATTAGCAAATAGACTGGCTCTCAGGGAAGGCTGAATGCCAATTATCTATTCATTTTCTTTCTCATCCTTCCTCTTCCTCTAGGGTCAGGGTACAGTGGAGGAATGAAAGGCATAGCAACAGCAGCATGACTTTCAAAAAAGAAGCCCTGGTTAAGTTTAATGCTATCATCTTCTCAGTTAATTAAATTGACATCTTATTCGCCTTCAACACTCATTCATATTTATGACCAACCTAGGTTTCATAGATGTTGAAAATCTTAACATGATTCTGCAAATTTAACACTAGATTTTCTCATAAAAAGTAAAATATTTCCTTCTTATGAGTTTGTTCTAGTTCCAAAAGGTGTATTTTCTTTCCTTCTCACTTAAGAAATATAAAGTATGGTGGTGGTTGTTAGATGCCATCTAGTGGGCTCTAACGCATATCACCTCTACGTAAAACGGAAGGAAACGCCACCGATCAGCCCTGCGACATCCTCACAATTGTTCTTAGGTTTGAGCCGTTGTTGCAGCCGTGTGTCCATCCATCTCATTGAGGGCTTTCTTCGTTTTCACCGCCCCCCCACTTTACCAACGTGATGACCTTCCCCCGGGACTGGTCTCTCCTGATAACATGTCCAAAGTACATGAGACAGAGTCTAACCATCCTTGCCTCTAAGGGGCATTCTGGCTGTAAAATATTGGGAAAGAAAACATCAAGAAAGGAAAAAAAAAAAAGACGCCTTGAAAGAACGAAGAAATACTTGCACACTACCAAAGGGAAAAGGTCCTTCTTTAAATCCCCTTCTGAGAACAAGGGAGAAATCAGGTAGAGGCGTCTGATGGAAGGAGAGGTCAGTGGCAGAGACCTGAGTAGAGAAGTTGAAAATGCTTAGGAACATTTGTCTCACTGTGCTATGGGACTGAGTGTCAAGCCTTTGGTCAGCCGACTCTTCTTACTCAAACCGAGGACAGAATACTTTGGCTGTGATCAAACGGGGGACCCTCCTGAGATCAGAAAAGCTACTTGGATACTTTGGGCCGCAGACTGGACAGGGAAGGAAGGGATGGAGGGGGAAACCTGCGCCTTTATCACGGACAGTTGTGCAGCCACGATGTGAAACTAGAATCTTTGTGTGGAGGAAGACAGCAGACTTATTCAAGAACTCACTCATGACGGAAGTCCACAAAGTAGGGCTACTTCACAGTTTAAACGCCAAACCGGATGCATTTTTCACCTGGAGAATTGCCCTCCCCGCTCGCCCGTTTTGGCGCGAAAGGCTGAGGCAAGCCCGCCCCCTTGTGGTTGACGGCGTCGCTGCCACGGAGCGGCGGCGCGTTCTGATTGGAGGACAACTTTTTGTTCCAGCTGTCTCCTTGTAACCTATCCCGTTCGGCGCGTATTTTAAACCGCGAATTGGCTGTGAGGAGGGAAAGAAAGACGCCTTCTGTTTGGTATTTAAACGACCCTTTAACGAGCACGCCCCGTCCTTAGCGAAAGTGCTGGCTTCACCTTAGGCCTCCAATAAGATCCGCGTGCGTGCATTTTGAAAGGCTCACTTTAGACCTTATTTTGTAGAAGGAAACCTGTGGGATTTGATCCCTCCCACGGGAAACCCAAACAGTCTTATGCAGAAGAAGATAAAGAATGATTGAAGTGACGCTGCTGATTGCAACACACTAATTTTTCTCCAACTTGATGCCGGGACAAGTCTCCTGGAAACGCCAGAATTCAACAGGAGGGTGGGCGGGACGGCGCGGTGAACTACAACTCCCAGCATGCTTCCGGGGAGGAGAGGCCCGCGGCTGCGCAGACCGGCGCGGCGGACGTGCGGCGGTCACGTGATTCCAGCATGGCGGTGTTTGCCGATTTGGATCTGCGAGCGGGTCCCGATCGGAAGACCCTGTGTCGGCTGGTAGAGAATGCCGCTCACCGTGAGTTGGCGGCCTTTGCGGGCTGCGGGGACCGGTCAGCTCCGCTTCTCTTCAGACTATCGGGCTTGACTTAGGGGGCATCTGGCAAGGCCTTGTCAAAATCTCTTGAGGTCTCTGGGAAGAGGTCCTTGAAGCTGATAACCACTGCCGTGTGGCTCGGATCCAGACCTCGCGGAACTGGAAGGGACCCGGGTGGGGCCAGGGGGTCAATGCCTTGTTTTCCCGGCAAATTCAAGAACCTGAGATCTTAAAGAGGGCAAGGAATTTACTTAAGGACCTCGCCACTGATTGGTGGGAGAAGCCAGGTTTAGATTCCCAAGTGTAGTCTTAGTACTCTTGACACCCCCGCCCCTTCCCCTGCCTCTCCCGACAATGCCTCAGCAAATTGGGGAGCAAAGGAGGAACGCTGCGATGGCCCAGAGCAGTGGCAGGACACAGGGGTGCGAGAGATGGAACAACGTTATTTAGTGGGAGAGTAGATGGGAAGAAGCAAAGCCAAAAATGGGAAATTGATTTCTTCTGAAGGCCCTGAGAGAGGTGACCCCATTATGATCGCTGGATTTACTAATGGCTTCTGCGATCACTTGGCTGTAAAGTGGGGTTCCTGGAGGAAGACCTGTTTCTTAGAGTTCTGAGCTCCTTTTCAGAGATGGTGTCAGATAAACCCATCCCTTGGGACTGTGAATCAAGTTTTTTTCTCTTTCTCCCCCCCCTTGTATGAAATACTGCCGTGGAGTCTGTGCTGACTCATATCTATCCTATAAGACAGAGTAGAACTGTCCCTGTAAGTTTGACAGTTTTATTTGGATATAATTCACATAACCTACAATTCAGTATTACAATCATATCAAGAAGAGATGTACAATCATTACCACAGTTTTAGAACATTTTCTTCTTTCTTGCACTCACTATTATATGCCCCCCATTTCTCCCACGCTTCCCACCCATACTCCCAAGAAACCATTAATCCAGTTACTGCCATCTATGGGTTCACCCCAGATTTATATGAAAGCCCTGCCATTCTCAAGGGAGGCAGCTGGGGCTACAAACTGCTGATCTTGCAGGTAGCCCAACAAGAAATGCATATGAACTAGCCATGGAGAAACGACTTTCTGTGACAGCCACGGTGGCCTTGTCTCTCCAGACATGCTAGCTCGTCTATAGAAAGGGAGTTAGGCATGCTGTGTAAGGATTTGTAGAACTTGGATACTTGAAGAATTCCTTCAAAGTGAATTTTTTGAAGGAGGGGTGTCACTCAAGCATTACCTTCTCAGTGAAGTGCTTCCTAATGCTATCCCCTTATAGAACCAATATGAACATCTTTAAAGAGGGGCCATGTCTTACTTGTTAATCACTTAGCAAGGGTGCATGCTAGTTCTTCAGTTAATGCTTTGTTGTGTGTGTTGACTTTTCTTTGCAGTTGGCTATTCCGTTGTTGCCATCAATCATGTTATTGACTTTAAGGAAAAGAAACAGGTAAAGTACAATTTCTGAAATTAAACCAGTGCTATTTGTGTTTATATTGGTAATATTCAAAGTGTAGATGAACTTATTTCTTGAGTGCATTCACTTTGCACATTATTATTTTCTTATGTTAACAGTTGTGACTGAGTTAAATTTGTACAAATGATAAAGACTTTTTGAGTCAGTGATGACTCCATAGCAACCCAATAAGAGAAGGTAGAACTGCTTCTGTGAGTGTCCTAGACTAACTCTTTACGGGAGTAGAAAGCCCATTCTTTCTCCCTTGGAGCGGCTGGAGGTTTTGAACTGCTAATCTTGCAGTTAGCAGCCCAACACTATGCCGCCAGCAGGGTAAATACAACTACATGATATAATTCTTAAAGTTGAATGTATATTAATTAAGTCGTGTTCAATAGAATGCTTAAAATACTTGGTTATTGACTGAACTGTGCTCACAATATAGGTTCTTTCTATTGTGTTGTCATGGGCTTATTAACTAATTGATTTTACTCTTAAACCTCAGGCAAATAGGTATATTTTCTCTTTAGGCCAGTAGGTTTATTGATCAGATTACCAAGTGCTGAATAGCTTATCGATAGTTTCTCCCACCCCCAGCCTTATAATTATATTTTATTCCTCCTATTTGCTGGTATTGTCAGTTGCTTCTTTGCCCTTGAGTTTTTATCACTAAAAGAACGAAAAGATGGAATTTCTGAATACCAGAACTTTGTATGCTTCCCCCCACCCTTGAAAACCTTGTATTCATAATGCTTTGCCCTATTAGCATCCACAATTCCTGTTAATTGTCTATCATTTGTTGTAGGAAATTGAAAAACCAATAGCCGTTTCAGAACTCTTCACAACTTTGCCAATTGTACAGGTAGGTGTTTGGGTGTTTACAGAGTGTAATGCCCTCTTCATTCAATTCAGAAACACGTGATTGTCAGAGGAAACCAGCCTCTAGCAACTGAAGGGTCCGTAGGCACAATTGTACACAGATAATATATAAAGGTTATAGTAAAATCATAGAAGATAGGAGAGAGAATAAAATAAAGGAGTCAGACACATTTGGTGGTCCACATGGAGGTGGGAGAAGAGAGAGAGTGTGTCTTTGTTATCTTGGTATATTTATAGGTAGCCATAAGACATGCATATTCACTTGTGGCATACATACATCACCAGGTGGGGGTAACTACAGTAAGGTCTCTGAGCTCACAGGTGAGGAACCCTAATAACTCCATTGGGGGAGGTATGAGGGGTAGGGCTGGGTGACACAGTGGGAAGAGATAACAAAAGGATGTCTGCTTCTATAGGGAGATAAAATCAACCACGTGCTCACTTTAAGGCAGCAGAGCTGTTAGGGAGAATCTGTGGGAATGATATTTAAAGCAGGATAATGTACTTGGACATTATCTCTAGCTTACCAAAGTGGTGTATTTCCTACCATGGAATACTAGCTTTCCAGATTCCCTCTGTTACAAATTAGGGAATATAGTCCTTGTCATATTTCCCCCGGTGTTAGTTTCCCACACTTGGCTGTGTGTGCTCATCTCTAGTCTGGTCTGGTCTGTCCTTCCTTCCCTAGCAAGCCTCTACCTCCAGCAAGAGTCAGTTCTTCGTGAAACACTCTCTTTCTTTCTATCTGGCACTTCTCAAGTAATCTTCTTCCCTTGAGTCCTACAAGGTACAAAGGGTCTCCCACAGTGTGCTGCGTGCCCGTCCTTTTCTTCCCTGTTAGTTGCTGTTAGTTGTCCTCCAGGTGGCTCTGACTCATAGCATCCCTGTGTACAGCAGAATGAAACACTGCCCTGTCCTGCACCATCCTCACAATTGTTTGATTATGTTTGAGTCCATTGTTGCACCTGCTGTGCCAATCCCTCGTGTTTAGTGCCTTCTTCTTTTCCCTCTTTTCCCGCTGCGCCTCTACCAAGCACGATCTCTTTTTCTAGGCACTGGTCTCTCCTGATTCTATGTTCCAAGTAGATGAGATGCAGTCTCCCCATGCGTGCTTTTGAGGAGCGTTCTGACTAGCCCTTCCCAAACAGATTTATTTGTTCTTTTGACAGTCCATGATACTTTGAATAGTCTTCACCAGCACCATTATTAAAATGCACCCATTCTTCTTTGCACTTCCTTACTCACTTTCCAACTTTCGCATGCATACGAGGTAACTGGAAATATTGTGACTTGGGTCAGGCACACTTTAGTTCTTAAAGTGACACCCCTGCTCTTCACTGTAGAGGTCTTGTGCAGCAGATTGACCTCATTCAGTGCGGTGGTTGATTTCTTCTGCTTTGGTGAGTGTTGATTTTGGATCCAAGCAAGATGAAATGCTTGGCAACTTCAGTCATTTCTCCATAGATCATGATGTTACCTACTGGTTCAGTTGTGAGATTGTTGGTTTTATTTACATTCAGTTATAAAGCATCAATCAATCAATAAATAAAATAAGACATTGAAAGCTGCAATCCTTGATCTTCATCAGCAAGTGCTTTAAATCTTCCCCACTTTCAGCAAGCAAGATTGTGTCATCAACTGTATATAAACAATCTACAATTCTGTTTATGGCATATTGGTAAGAAGCCTCCTGCAATCTTAATGCCAAGTTCATCATGCTTCTCTGATTATTTTCTTAATATACACATTGAATGTATATGGTGAATAGATACATCTGTGACACCCACCTTTCCTGATTTTAAATCATGCAGTATTCCCTTGTTCTATTCAAACGACTGCCTCTTAATATATGTACAGGTTCCGCATGAGCACAATGAGGTATTCTGGAATTCCCATTCTTCTTAATGCTGCCAATAATTGGTTATAATCCTCACAGTTGAATGCCTTGCATAGTCAACAGAACACCAGCTGAATACCTTTACCTTTCTGGTATTCTCTGCTTTCATGCTCTCAGCTACGATCCATCTGGCATCAGCAATGCTATCCCTTGTTCTACTTCCTCTTCTGAATCTGGCTTGGATTGTGGTAGCTCCCTGTCAATGGACTTCTTCAGCCCCATCGATTCTTGCTCATATGCTACCTCTTGAAATGGTGGAATGCTGACTAGTTCTGTTTGTGTTTCTTTTATCTTGTTTTGATGCTTCCTGCATCATTCAATATTTTGCCCACAGATTCTTTAAGTATTGCAACTTGAGGCCTGAATTATTTTCTGCACTTCTTTCAGGTTAATATATGCTGGACATGTCCTTCTGTGGCTTTTTAACTTCAGGCCTTTCCATATTTTATTATCATACTTCAGTTTGTCTTCTCAACCTGTCCTTTGACATTTTCTGTTCAGCTCTTTTACATCATCATTTTTTTCATATGCTTTGACTACTCTGTGATTCAGAGCAAGTTTCAGAGTCCCTTCTGACATCTATTTTGATTGCTTCTTTTTTATATAAATAATTTTGGGGGATGGGCTCTTAAGTATATGTACATAGACCTATATTCCTATCATTATATATTAACATATTTACATACATACATGCCTATATTTATACCTCTATAAATGTTTTTTGCCTCCTAGTTCTTTTCTCTGTTTCCTCTTACTTTCCTTCTGTCCCACTATCATGTTCAACTTTCAGTCAGCTCTTAGTAATTCCTCTGGCTACATTGCACTTGAACAAACCCCACAAGGCATTCTATGCCCTCCTCGCCATCAATTTTAGATCTCTTGTTCCCTTGTCCCTGGGTTTGTTGGATTCTCCCTGTCCTGTCCACCATCTCCTCCTCTCCCATTCCCCCTGGAACCATCCATCCAGTTGTTTTCTCCACGGGATTGTAAACAATCCTGCCTGTCTTACATAGATAGACATGAAAATAAATAAATAAATAAATAGATAGATAGATAAATAAATAAAAGCCTATAAATAGTTCCAGGTCTGTTGCTGACCCTTATGAATGTTTTCCTACCGGGCCCGATGAGGTTCCAAGCCCAGCCCGCCAAGTCAGAAGCCTGTTTTGGGGATTCCTTGGGGACACCTTTGTTTTGCTCCCCTTGCTGCTCTGTTGTGCTCCCTTCATGCTTTGCCCTCATGTGTGTAGGGGGGTGGGGGTGGGGTTAGACCAGGCACAATTCCTGCACTGTCTCCAGTGCTGTCTCCCATAGCGCTGTGAGGGGATGTCATGACTCGTGGTGGGGCCAGTTCTCTCCTCGAGGTTCGGTGGGCCAGGATGGGGTCTTCTCTCTCTCTTTCCCTCTAAGTCTGCTCCCTGGTTGTTTCTTTCCTGCCTTTTTAAATGACCGTTTGCTTTCTTCCATGTATGATATGCTTGATTTTTTTTTTATGTTATCTATTCTTGAGGTGTTCTTGAAATTCAAGTGGGATATACGCAATGTTGTATTAATTTTCATTTTCTTTGAATTCACCTTCAACTTACATCTGAGCAAATTCATGGTTTGTTCCACAATCATCACCTGTCCTTGTTTTAGCTACTGATATTGAGCTTCTCCCATGTTGCTTCCTGCAGTTGTAGTCAATTTGATCTCTGAATATTTCATCTGGAGACGTCCATGTGTATAGTTGTGTTGTTGAAAAAGACATTTACAGGGGGGATCAGGGAGGGTGAGGGAAAAAAATTAGGAGCTGATACCAAGGGCTGGAGTAGAAAGTAAATGTTTTGAGAATGAAGATGGTAATAAATGTACAAATGTGCTTGACACAATGGATGTATGTGTGGATTGTGATGAGTTGTAAAAGCCCCCAATAAAATGATTAAAAAAAAATCAAAGTTAATAAAGTCCTTAAATATAAAAAAAAGAAAAAGAAATAAATAAAAAGACATTTACAATGAAGAAGTCATCGGTCTTGCAAAATTCTGCCATGGCATCTCCAGCTTGGTTCTCTCATGAAAGACTAATTCCAACTATTGTTCCTTCCTCTTTGTTTCCAATTTTCCCATCATAAATGCTAATAATTATTGATGCATATTGATTGCAGGTTTGATTAGTGTCACCCTGAAGATGCTGGTAGAACATCTTAGTGTCTTCACTAACTTTAGTGATTGGTGTGTAAGTTTGAATAACAGTTGTGTTGACTGGATTTCCTTTTATATGGATAGGCATTACCACATCACAGATAGCCTTGTACTTTAAGTTGGGTCTTGAAATACCCTTTTTGACAATGTATGTTTATGCCAGGTCTCTGGAATTTCATCATTCTTGGCTTAGTAAATCAGATATTGTCTTATTCAAGTGGCCAGCGCCAGTCTGTTTCACCTCAGGAATGTCAACTATATGTGCATTCCACTTGGTTGGTGAAGACTTCCGATGTTCCTACATTCATGTTTTGTATATTGCAAGTTCCAGTGATTAATAGAGGTTTACAGCTGTTTGCCTCGTCAGCAAACGAAGGTTCCTAAAGCTTCACTCCATCCACTTCCTTGTGCTTGACCCTACTTTGAGAAGGCAACTCTTCCTCAGTGGTGTTTTGAGTGCCTTCCGAGCTGAGTGGCTCATCTTCCAGCACTGTATCTGACAGTTTCACCACTGGTCATGAAGTGTGCAGTATTTGTCAGTGCTCCAGTAATATTCATGAGGTTTTCTGTGGCGAACTCCTGAAGTAGACAGCCAATTCCTTCTTCTTCATCTGTTCTTACTCCAGTAGCTCTGCTGAAACCGGTTCACGTTGGTGACTGCTCATATCATATTAGAAATATCAACGACTGCCTCCAACATGCAAAAACACACAAGCCGCCACTGTATCACACCCTGACAAACACACGGTGACTTGTTCTCTAGCTACATTAGCAATTCCTTGAGGACAGGAATTAAGTTTTACTCTCATGTCATTTATTGCTGGCACCTTTTCATGAATACTTTCCATTAGTAAAGAGGAAAAACAATTCATTATATTGGAAGTTATTACTTGTCCATTTTGCTTACAGGGGAAGTCAAGACCAATCAAAATTCTAACTAGACTGACTATTATCATTTCGGATCCCTCTCACTGCAACGTTTTGGTAAGTTAATTGTTTTTCTTTCTGCTTACGCCCTGGAAGTTGTATTAATTGTTGTTGAAAGGTGTGCTTTTTTCCTTCATTCTACCCTCACCTACAGCCTTTCCACGACACCTGCACCACTCTTCCTAGCCTCAAGTTTTCACCTGTATAGCATGTATCTTTTCCTTCCCGCTGTGTGCACACCGATGCCACACGTAAGAATCCTCTGGCAAGGGCTAGTCATCCAGTTCACATGTGCCAGTCATCAGGCTGGGTGCCGGGATGCTGCTGTCAGTAACACAGACTCCGCCCTTGGACTCACAAAGGTTATAGTTTAATTGGCAAGAGAAACACTTAACACACACACAAAGAAAGAACACTTGGCAATAATTACAAACGTGAGTTAGGTTTGAAAGGCGAGAGGTGGTAAATGAAATAGTACTTCGGGGATTTATGGGGGGAGAGCCATCTAGAAGAAGTTGATGTACAACAAGTAGGAATTGTTAAGGAGAAAGAGTGGTCCCCCCCCAAAGTAGGAATTGTTAAGGGAAAGAGTGGTCGCCCCACACTCTGGAGGGCACAGTCTCCAAGCCGAGAAGTGCTCCCAAAGCAAAACAGTGCCCACAGGGCTGAACCTAGTGAGCAGAACCATTGTCAGGGACAGGTGGAAACGTGAACTGATTGAATATAAATGTAGCTAGTTTATTAGATGGAATTCCATATTTGAAGGGGCTTCAAAAAATTTCAGGAAAAAGTGGAATGAAAAGGTAATGGAAATGTTCCATGAACTTTTTGAAGCCCCTTGTTTATATTTTCTGTTTCTCTCTGGTTACTTTCTTCTCTTTATGTATCTAGAGATCTACGTCTTCAAGGGTCCGTCTCTATGATATTGTTGCAGTTTTCCCGAAGACAGAGAAACTGTTTCATGTAAGTAACAATTAAGGAAAAGAGCCGAGTTTGTTACACTGTACAGGAAGTCTAAAAGCATTCCTTGTTGGTGACTTATTTCCAATCCACACCCCCGCCACACCCCAAGAACTACTAGGATTTTGTCATTTATACTTAGAATTTCGAAGTTTCAAAGGGAACTATTGAAGCAACAGCATATTTTTTAAAACTTACCTGGCTAGACATTTGGTCCCAGAATGAAAAAGCCCATCAAGCTTTCTTTGGTTGGTTCTTGAACTTTTCTTAAGTAAATATTCTGTGTCCAACTCATGTAGCTCTAAAATCACTTCCGTTTCTGCTCTGCTCACTGTGTGTGCTGGGACGGAAACCCTCGTCTCACGCGCTGTCTCTGGCTTACTCTAGCGGGTGCACAGTAGAGTCAGATGGTTGCATCAACTTAATCTTCGAGGCACTTTTCATAATCACCCATCTGCCAGTACCGTGCCCTTTCCGATCTGGAGTTAGTTCCTTTTGTACTTTTCCAGAGGAGCACTGGAGGTGCTGTGGGCTAGGTTTGGGGCTAGTAACTGCCAGGTTGGCAGTTCAAGCCCATCATCTGCTCCTTGAGAGGAAGAAGAAGTTGTCTGTTCCAGTAAAGATAGTCAGTCTCTGAAACCTTCAATCTTCAGAATCCACTTGATCGCCGAGGTTGGGCACTTTGGACTTTTCTAACTCAGTGATTTTCCAGGGGAGATGGATTTGACATGTGTGCTTATTCACCTAGACGTTTTAATGATCGTGCGGTTGTTAAGGGCCATCAGGTCCATTTTTGACTGGGTGAGTCCACGTGACGGGAGAGCTGTTATAGGGGGTTTCCTAGTGTGTAAGCTCTGCAGGAGGGGAGCACCGGGCTTTTCTCCCACAGAGCCGCCTGCTGGGTTAGTCTTGTGGTGAGCTGCTGAACGCATCCTGGCAAAGGGGAATTCTTAATAAATAAATTCACATAAAAAGATTGCGGTTCTTCGTCAGTCGATTTTCCCGTGTAAACTCAGAACTTTTAGAAAGTTCTGAAACTTCTTTGTATAGGTTCAGAGAAGTGTGCATCTGACAAAAGAATATTCCAGAAGAAAAAAAATGAACACACTGTCACATCTTAATTTTACAGTAGAGTTTCGTTTTAGGGAGAATCTGTTCTAAAATTGTAAGAATCTTTTTCGCCAAGTCTGTCCTGTAGGTGGAGCTATTGACTACAGAAAGCTGATTGTGGTACATTTCATTAAGCATGTGTTTAACCCTCAATTATTTCTGTTCACTGGAGAGCAGCACGAAGCACCCATGAAGGACCACCTTCTTTTGGCGAGTTCCTGTGTAAGACACGCAGTGACAGCTCTTCCAAAGAAGGGCACCTCAGCAAAAGGGATTCGTAGAAACATGTAGCTTTGGAGTTTTCCAAAGTCACACAGTTCAGCCCACCCCACTGGATATTCTGACTGAGTACAAGTGCAGTTTGATTATTGGGGGTTTTTAAGTTCAGTCGGAGAGTGTGGCTCAGTGCTGAAACCACCAGGGTAAAGTCTTAAGGACTAAAGGGCACTCCAAAAGTTGCTAATGACAGCAGTTTAGTTTTTATCACACACTCATGATGTAGACTGCTATTTGGTAATAGGTGAACATTTTTTTTGGAATAGTTTTTATTTATTTGATTATTTTTTATTTTTGGAATTGATTCTGAAGAATATACAACTTTCATTGCTATAGCCTTCTGCTTCAAACCCCTGCCATTGAGTGGATTCCAACTCACGTGACTGTCTACACTGTAGAGTCTACAGGGTTTCTGAGACTGCTGGCCATTATAGAGACAAGCAGAGCACTCGAAAGGTCACACTGTGGCCAAAGGATAGATATTTATGTGACCCTCCAAATCATTTTCCATAGGTATTTTATGTTGCCTCACAAAATTCTGTGAGATACATGAGGCACATTTTACGGAGGTGAAAACTGACACTCGGGTTAAGTGATTTGCTCTAAGTCTCCCAGCTTTTAGATAAGAAACTTGTGTAATAGAGCTAGGATCTTGGGGTTTCAGAACACATCATTTCATAGAACAGCTTTATCTTATTACTTTATTTCCTCATACTATTCAAGTGCTTGAATTTCCCCAATACATGCTGGTTTATGGAGTGGAGCAGTGAGAAGGAGATAGCAGAAAGTGATATGTAATTCATGGAGTGGGTGTTTGAAATTGGCTCCTGTACTCCTGGAAACACACATACTCATGAGAACACAGATTTTTTAATTGGAGCATTTTCTTTCGCGTATCTGTCCACATTGAACTTACCCATTCTTTAAGACCCAGGGAAATTTAGAACCTCCTTGTTTTCTATTTTTAAAAAAAGTTTTTTTGAAGCTATCTTTCTGTTAACACTAAGGAGCTCTGGTGGTATAGTAGTTACACGTTGGGCTGCAGTCTGTGTGGTTGGCAGTTCGAAACCACCAGCAGCAGCTCTGCAGGAGAAAGACTGGGCTTTCTACTTTAGTAAGCAGTTATAGTCTCAGTCGGAAACCTACACAGAATCTATTCAACGTTGAACGTAATCCAAAAACTCCACTGCTCTTGAGTTGGTGCCAACTCCCAGTTATCTTGTGCTGCAGTGGTTTTCAACCTTGCTAATGCCGCCACCCTTTTATACAGTTCCTCATGTGGTGGTGACCCCCAACCATAAAATCATTTTCATTGCTTTCATAACTAATTTTGCTACTGTTCTGAATCAGATGACCCCTCTGAAAGGGTTGTTGGACCCCTCCCCCCCCCAAAAAAAGGGGACACGACCCACAGGTTGAGAACCACTGCTGTAAAGAATTTCCAAGGCCGTAAAACTTCACTGGAGCAGATAGCCTCATTTTTCTCTTAGAAAGCATTTGAAACACTGGTGGGTTTGAACCCCTGACTTTGTAGTAGCAGGCCAGCACTTACCCAACAGTACCACCAGGGCTCCGTAAAGCTCTTGGAAGTACTGTATATCATGATTTGGAATCAGGTCAAAAGCAAACAGTCTGTTTCTTAACAGATTGCATTGTATAAGTGATTCCATTTATTCGGCCTATAAGTTGATTAATTAGAATTTTAACAGGTGTCCCTATAGATGTAATCTTCTAAAGCAGTGTCTCTAAGATAAGTCATCAAAGCAGTCATATTTACACGCACATTAACAGTTAGTGTAAAATCAAACCACTTTATATTGTTTCTATGGGAGAAAACATAGAAACTTCCACTGGGAGTGTATGGAAGGTGTCTCAGCGATAAGAAACTCTCCCACCCAGGTGCACCATAGATAAGGCAAAGATTAGAGATGGAGGAGAGCCCACTGGCTGGGGTGCCCTGGCAAGAGGCCTACTGTGGAATGGCAAAGAGAGAATTCCATAGAGCAGCAGTTCTCAACCTGTGGGCCGTGACTCCTTTTGGGGGTCGAACGATCCTTTCACAGGGGTTGCCCAATTCATAACAGTTTATAGTTATGAAGTAGCAACGAAAATAATTTTATGGTTGGGGGGGTCACCACAACATGAGGAACTGTATTAAAGGGCTGCGGCGTTAGGAAGGTTGAGAACCACTGCTGTAAAACTTCTGAGTCAGTTCCCATTTAAGACTTAAACACATCAATAGTTTCAATGACTTTAGATAGCTCATTGGTCTCAATTCCTTTTATTGTACACCTTGTCAGGTTAAAGAAATTGACCTTGTTTCTCAAAATAATGTTTATTGCCATATAAATTATTTACATATTATGTTAAACCGGTGTGTTTCATAAAATAACACACACACAAATCAAAAATTATACCCATTACCACCAGGCCGGTTCCGACGCCTAGTGACAGAGTAGACCTGACCCCTCCTCCTCACCCAGGGTGGGCTGGTGGGTTCCAACTGCTTGTTAGTAACTGAGCACTCTGTCGCTGTGACACCAGTGATCCCTGGCATGCCCATGCACAGAAGAAGAAGAAGAAAAAATTAAAAACAAATGGAAATAGAAGTTCTCTTTCCTTCCTGCTCCCGAACCCCCTGACCTAGCCTTCAAAGAGCACTATAGCTTGCTCAGGCTTCTGATGAAAGAATGTGTCCGTAAAAGCAGTGTCTTTCCAGGTGTGGTCTGGCTCCATGCCCTATGCAGGACTCAGCAAAACCAAACTCGCTGCCATCAAGACAATTCCAACTTAGTGGCTTATGTGACAATGAGCGAGAACTGCGCTTGCGGGTTTCCAAGACTAACTGTTCACAGGAGCAGAGACCTCATCTGGTGGTTCCTTCTCTAAATTACTGGGGTGTTGTTAAAGTGCCTGGGGCCTTACTTACTAAATGAGAATCAGTCCATGGGAAAGAGGCTTTTTAAATTTTTTATTAAGGTTTGTTTATTTATTTTTTAATCATTTTATTGGGGGCTCGTAAAACACCACAATCCGTACATCCATCCATTATGTCAAGCACATTTGTACATTTGTTGCCATCATTCTCAAAACATTTGCTCTCCCCTTAAGCCCCTGGCATCAGCTTCTCATTTTTCCCCCTCCCTCCCTGCTCCCCCCTCCCTCATGAACCCTTTATAA